ATAACTAAATCCCGCCACAAAGACCGAACCTTTCCTGTATCACTCTCAGGACAAACCTGGCCTGCATGCAAAACACCCTCCAACCCTCAAACTCCAGACGCTGTCCGATGGTAGTTCTGGGAGCCTTCTTTCGCAGGCTGCTTCTGCCAAGCCCACCAGGGCCACCTGCCGAGTGGTTTGGGACTCAGGGCTATTCGGTTTCATGGGTGTTGGGGTTCTTGGGGGTGAAGGCCTCGGCAAAAGTCAAAAGGGCTGGAATTCTCGAGGCTTCGAGTCTGAAATTCGCTTTTGAGGGCTGTGCAACATTCGGGGCTTAGGGAGACCTGCACCCTTGTAGATGCGATTTGATTCACGGCCGCAAGCCCCAAGAGAACCCAGACTTCGTCTTTGACCTGTCCCCGAGTGATAGCACCAAGAGCCCAACTTGAGCCAGGCACCACCGAAACCCAATTCCCCTGATCCCCTGAGCTCCAGAATCAGGCTTCAGTTTCCTTCGGCCTCGCAGACGCGACACTCGCTGCTGCGGCCACGATCATGGCCAGGCAGACACCCCTAGCATCCTCGCTATCCTAAACGAAGCCGTGCTCGTTTAGGGTAGGGCCCAAATCCTGAAGTTTAGAGCTTTCGGGCTTAGTTTGCCTTTGGGGCTTTGGGGGGGGGGGGGGGGGGAGGTTCAACAGGCCCCCGAAGAAGGCGATTAGGGAGGAAAATATGACCTCAAGAGTGTCACAAACAGCTTGGTAGACCTCAAGCTATGGATTGGAGGGTTTTTGCTCACAAAAGCCTTATATGAGCCTCGGCTCCTGCAAACTAAAACCCTCAATCCTCAACCCTCGAGTGGCCAGCAGGTCAGAAGACCTGGACGACCGGGAGAGGAGGCGGGAGCTGAGAAGGAGTTTAGGGGTGTCGGGCTCGGGTTGTTTTCAGGTACCATGGCTTTGTGCTGGGTTGCCTTGCTGTTGATTTAATTGAGTTGGGGTTTCAGTTTTTTGTTGACTCAAGTCTTTTAGGTATTGAGATGTATTGAACTAGAACTTGAACACCCGGGTAGGTACATCATTCTCCCGTGCTAAGCAGATCGTGTGCTGAAGCGCGATAAGCCTCGGCAGCCTTTATTTTGTGCAATCGCCCAAATTATGGTAACACGCTCCTTCAGCCATGATGCCTGGAAGTGCAGAATTAAATTATTACATATCTTCCCGCTGCCTGCAGCGCCGTTACAGCTCTCAGGAAGAAATAATTACACAGCGCTCCCCTGCACAGATCGCGGCCATTCGCCCACGACATGACCTGGATCACATCAAGCTTGGCTGAGACAGGATCGGGGGCTTAGATGGTTTTGAGATGCTAGGTCTCGGAAGAGAAGCCCCGGGCCTGAAGTTCGAAAGCCATGAAATTCCTGAAGCCGGCAGCCGTAGCATCTGTTCGAAAGGACTGGACTTGCTCTACAACAAGGCGAGTGGGTTTGGGCTTTCGGGCTTCGGGGTCGGCATCGGGCTTTTAGACGTCTGAGGCCTTGGCTTTTGCTGCGAAGGCGCTTGGACTTTGTGAAGGGCTGAAGCAGCTTCTGTAGGGCATTCAATCAAGGTCGAAGGTGCCTGTTTTCCTGGAATCTCTTGGCCAAGGCCTCCAGGTTTTGTTGAACGCAGGTCAGTTACCTATTTTGTGGAATGACCTGGAAGAAGCGGAGTGAGCAACCCAGCGTCGAGAACCGGTCACGACCGTTTCCTCACTGCCCACGCTGTTCCATTCTCTGCAGTTGCTAGCTCGCCACTCGCCACGCCCTGACTTTGTTTGAAGTGCCCCCGAGACGTTTCAATCTCCACGTAGGGCACGGCTGCGTAGCTCCAGGTGCGCGACCTCTCCGTGGATGTGGCGGTGGAGGAGCTCGATGATGTGCGAATGCTCCGGCTGCGAAAGGAGGTGCCTTTGAGGGGACGAGGGGACGAGGGGGGAGGGGGAGGGAGGGGGGAAAGAGGAGAACAGAAATGCAAGGCTGATTGCGTTCATGGTGGCACTGCGCTCAAAAGGCATGACGCTGGTCCCAAACCCTAAACCACCATGCCGTAAGCCCGCGCAGGCCCCCCGAAATCGGTCAAGCCCTAGTCTTCGAGCTGGCAGAGACGTGGAATTTTCGTGCTTATAGAGACAATGAGCAATTCAGAGGTGTCGTCATCACGCTGGCATCGCCCACACCCTTAGGAACGGGGCCGAGCCCTAACACCCGGAGCGTTGGAACCGCGACATTTCGCCGGCAGCTGCCACGCATTCGCATGCTGGAACGCAGGTATGCCCTCTGATCTTGTGGCTGGAGCTCGCCTACGTCCTGAGCTGCGGGCTCAGTTACTGGAGTGTTACTGTCTTGGTGAAGACACCGAAACCCCTGAGCTCTGCAAGCAAAGAGAGATTCGGTTCCGTGCTCGTTCATGGATAAGCCGCGACTGCCTGGCACAGTTTGTCTACGCTTATTCTGCCGATATGCGGAAGGCCAGGCACTTTGTATTACTATATGCTATGCTTTCTGGAGGTCTAGGTGCCGGACGTTCTTGCGGGGGTTGGGAAGTTTTATCTCAAGGGTTCCGCCCATTGACCTGAAACCTTTCCCTGACACTTAAGCCACCGCTTAATCCCGACCCAGCCAGCACCAGGGACAAGTGACCGGAGGGGTCGACGATGTAAGGGCATATTTTCAAATTTTCAAGTTGTTCAAGTTTTTGGGCTTTTGCCGTGCGGTGCTGTCCTGGCACACACAGAAGTTGAGTTTGCTGTTAGCAATACACAGAGCAGATTGCGATATTGTCACACATGCCAAGGGCAGAGGAGCTGATGTGCCGTTATTTTCCAGCGAATCTATAGCACCTCAGGAGCAGTGGATGCCCTTGACAACGCTCAAGTCAAAGCGTGTGCCTACAGAATTGTCCCGACGTTTAGGTTGTGCATTATGTGCGTTCCGTCCATGTACATAGCTCGATTCAAAAGGCTAAGTGTTTGGGTGTGAGTGTGCTCGGGTCTTTGGTATGCAGGTGCTTCAAGAGCACCCCAAACTCGCCCCTGAAAAGCCTAAAGCCCCTAACTTCTCTGGGGACTCTTACTAGCCCTTGTTATTCTTGCGTCGTTTTTGGAGCACTCAGCCCCAAGCCGAAAGCCTACAAACTCCAAAGCCAGCAAGGTCCGGAATTCGACCTCATCCGCTGGAATGGGGCCCTGGCTAAGGCCACAAGCTCAGGGCTTTGGGGCTTCAGGGCTCAGTGCCATACCTCTAGACTCGTGCCTTGGGAGGTGCTCAGGTTCTGGGCTCTGATTCCTCAGATCTTACCGAGGTCTTTGGCACGATCAAGCTGCCGGCTGCTGTGCGATGCCCAGAAGTCACGGATGTTGCGGCGATTCGCAGCTTCTGCGAAACAGCCCAAAGCAGAAACTTCTTGTGGGGGAGGGTTGCGAAGCATCCTGACTCTGCCGGACTAAATGATGTCTCGACGGCAGCGCTGACGGTTTCGGCAGGTTTGTATATATGAGGTGGAGATGCAGAAGGCTGGAGATGGCATAAAATCAAAGTTCTTGGCTTCCTTTGGTATGGGAAATCTAATTCGCGAAGCCCAGATAGAATGCAGCCGAGGTCTTGATGCGAATGAACATTAGCAGGCGCGCTGGCCATCCAAATCCAGAGGAAGTCCCAGGTTTAAGGGTTGGGTTCGCAGGTTTGCTTGAGTTTTAGGGTTTTTTGAGGGTTTGGCATTCGGGGTTTGGGGGGGGCCCGGGCACCGCTGAGGCTGTGCGTCTTCGGAAGCTTGAGTTTTGTGTCAGATATGCCGCAGCACGGATGGATGGGTTCAAGGTTGTTTGTGGCCGATCTGTGCGCTTGGATTTGAGGGTATAGTGTATAGGGCCTATCAATAGGCCTATAGGGCTTTGGCTTTGGAGTTTAGGGTCTGGAAGGCTCAGGCAAAGAGATCCACAGGCAGCTATGTCGGTTTGTGGTTATTTTGCGGTTACAACGGTTATACCTCTGAATGTGTTTGCGCACGTGTTACTGGGCAGCCTGGCATAACGTCTCCACAGAGCCACCCACACAGCGCCTCAACAGATTCGGAGCCCTTCTGCAGGCTGCGGCACATGGCTGGAGCCGGCAAGCTGCAGGTCGCTGGGACTCTAGATCTTCCAGCTTTTGTAATTTGTTTTTACCCTTTTTGGGGGGTTAGGAGCCCTGGTATTCCGATGTAACTATATGCAACTGAAAATATCAGGATTGCATTTTGGGTTGGGCGTAACGAAGCGCAGGGCTTGGTACTACCTGGTACCGTGGTACCTAGAGGCCCACGAATCCTAACCCCCCCCCCCCCCAGCCCAACAAAGATCCCCAAAGGCCCTTTAACCCACCCAGAGTCCATTTTGGAGAAACCTCGGTTCTTCACGTGGCCCGCAGATACAGCATGATAGGATTGCCTGGCCTCAGAGATTTAGAGTTTTGGATTGAAGTTTAGGGCTTATACTGCCAAACTGCTGCGGTTTACTTCTCATGCGGGGACATCTCGTTGCTGCCACCATGGCCAGAGCAAGAATCATCGACCATAGCCTTCTTGCTACTTGCCATGAAAGGGACCACCCACCTTTGCAAGTCAGGACTCGGAAGACCGCCCGGAGGCCAGCGCTCGCTGGTTTTGGCTTTATAGGCTCCCGGCTCATCGATTCGGAGATGTGCTAGACAAAGACTAGGTCCGTTGAGGTTTGAGGGCGTCGAGGTCTCGCGCATGGAGCTTGGGCTCTTTAAGCCCTGTGAGGCCAGGATGGACCCAGACCCCTGAAATCCTCCGAGCAAGTAAGAGCTTGGCGACACTTGGGACTAGTACTCTACAGCGGCGGTTAGCGCCTAAACAAGCAGCTAAAACCCAGCCGCCGCACCCTTAAAAAACAGTAATTCTGCTCTTGAGTTCGGTGACCCTGGGACCTTGCCGTGAGGACTTTGTGTCGTGGATGTGGCCGCTCGCCCTGCATCGGGTGCTGGTGGCGCCCAAGACAGCCTCCCAGGCTGGCTCTGAAAGAAGGGAAAGCTGTTCGGGGGCTGAAACATGTAGGGTTTGTGAGAGTTTGGGATGTCTTTTGGGACGTCTTTTGGGAGCGGCGGCATCTTGAAGCTTGAGTAAGCCAGTCAGGGTCCCTTCCTCCGCTGCTCTCCCCGAGCTCCTTTACCGAATGCACCCACCCTGCAAAGGCCACGTTGGCAGCTGCGATGCACGGAGCAGGCAAGGAGCCATTGAGGAGCATGCAGAACATGCGGTCTTCAAAGGTGGCACAAGGCGCCGAGCTTTGTCTCACCTATCTCCCTCAGAGCACCCCCCCGCTTTCCTGAAAGTGCCGCGAAGTCGTAAGCCTCCTGAGGTTCCTGAGGTTCCTGAGCTTCCTAGATCCCTCGAGGCCTGATGGAGGAGGGCGTCGCCACACTGCGCCAAAAGGGCCGAGCACTGCAGGCCAGGGCATGGAGCAGATCACGATAAAGGAGCCTGTTGAAGGAACTAGCAAGGGTACACTTCTGAACTCTTAAGGTGATTACGTAGTATGTGGCTTTGTTGAGCCTTGCTTGGCCAGGCCTTAAACGTCATACTTTTTGCTACAGGCTACTGGCAGCGTGCGGCATCGGCCTTGACAGTTAGAGAACGATTCGAATTCATTCTTCGCTCCATCGGTCTTCTTGGGAGTCGTTTGAGCTTCGAGGTATTTGGTCATGCAGCAGCCAGCCCTCCTTCCCGTCCCCTTCGCTCCCCCTCGGCAGAAAGAGCACTTCGCAGCCGTGGAGCTGGAGTTCGAAAAGGCCGCGATGTAGGGGGCATCTGTAGTATGGTATAGTATGGATCAACATTTGTTTTTCTGTGTTGACTGCTTCTTCAATCGTTATTCTCATTGGAAGTCCTGTTAAGTGTCAGCGTCGTGGTTTTCTCGCAGAATTATTTTAGGATGGGGCCGAAGCCACTAAAGTCAGAATGCCGAAATCATGCCCTGTCTATACAATAACTGCAGGGGCTGAAGCCCGGCAAATTTTCTATAGCCTTGATCTGTGCTCAGGAGTTCGACGAAGGAAAGCAGGCGGATGACTTACTTCCAGTATCATCGCATGTGTTGAAGGTGGATACTCCGCCGAGGTCAATCAGCCGCGTGTCAATAAATCTGTAAAGACTGGACAAGCTATGGTCTTCCTTGTTTGCTCCGGCATACGGCTCGCCACGGACAGAGTATACTCAACGAATTCCTGCTTCATAGCATTGTCCTTGTTCGAATCTCTCAACCCAGTGATGATGCAGCTTGTGCGGCTCAAGTCCAAAGCTATCAGACATGTGATTTGGCAGGCTTATCGCCTCCCCACAAATGGGTAGGCTGCTAAGTCTACACGGTGCTGCACCGGGGGCCCCAACTTGTCCTACTGAGGCCACGCGCGTCTTCGAAATGCAGCAGCTGCAACTGGTCCAGCAGATCCTTCAAGCACAGGATCCCTCGACATTCTGAAGCTCGGGAGGAATGCTGGCAGCGCAGACGCCAGGAAGGCTTACCGCCAGCTGGCGGTGAGGGTGCATCCTGACAAAAACTCTGCCCCTGGAGCAAGCGAGGCATGCAAGCGTCTGTCTGCTGCATGGGAAGCTGTGAATAATGCAGAGACCACGGACGACTCAGAAGCTGGTTGCTGCGCAAACTGCGGCTGGTTCCAGCGAGATGATGTGTTTTGCGGCGGCTGCGGCCAGCACTGGGACAGCTGCCATCGAGTTCAGGCGTTCGGAGAAGGCCCCACGAAGAGAAGCCAAGGTGCTGCAGCCATAAACGGAGATGTACCTAAGAAGGTCCGAAGCCGGTCGCCTGCCTACATGAGGGAGTCGACCTGCCTCCGCTGGAGGAGGCATGCAGCAGTGAGGAAACGCGCATGGACATGCGATAAGCATCCGTGCCGCGGATTGGCTCTCCTTGGCGGCTGCCACTGTCACTGGCACGCCAGCGACGAGGAAAAGTCCGTGGCACGCAGGCTCCGTGACGAGCACAAGGCGAAAGCCAAAGCCAAGTAGCAAAAGTGCGGAAATGGCTGCACGTTGATTTAGTATTAAATCTTACCGAAAGATGCCGAAAGCATCCAAGAATCATCTCAAGGCTGAAGAAGCCAACTCCTAATCCGGACGGCAGTTGCTTAGCCGTTGAGCTGAGGATGTGGGCAAAGTGTCTGTGGCCACCATTATGGCCATCCTGTCCAAGACGAGGAGTTCACGGATGCCGTGAAAGCTAGATCCACTAGATCCACTAGATGCGCTAAAGCATTTAGCAGTCATCATAGTAAACTTTTGCACACCTGCAGCATAGGGCTTTAGCGTGAGGTTGGAATCCCAGCGTGCTGACCAGCCTGCTTGCTCAATCTGTGTCAGGTCAGACTAGAGAATCGCTGTAGCGACCGAAGGTGAACCGCAATTTAAATCCTGAACCCGGCATGTTGCATCAGGAACGTCTTCGGTGCATCCAGCACACGCGCTCTGCTGCAGGCCCCCGCAAAGTTGCGAAATCAGGGTGCGTGCTTCGATTTTCGGGCCACTATACCCCAAAACAGCAAGAATCCTTTTTCAAGGAGCCACCAAAAATGGTACCGGGTACTGTTCTCTGTGAGGGGTGGATGCTGTGGGGGACACTTGAGTAGTTTGGGGCTGTGAGATATGACGTGATAAAAACTATGCTTGACTTCTGAGCAAGCAGCTCTGATACAGTAGCTGGGAGTATGGCCTTCCAGATGACGTGAGCATCATATACCACCTATTGTACCCGTGTTTCCTTTCTCACCAGACCCCTGAGCTCTAGGCCCTGAGCCATACACAGGAGCCAGACATACTCAGCCTCATCGGTCTATGCGAGTGCGTGTGTGTGTGTGTGTGTGTGTGTGTGTGTGTGTGTGTGTGTGTGTGTGTGTGTGTGTGTGTGTGTGTGTGTGTGTCATAACTGTCGAGGCGCGGCGCATCCTCCGCAGAAAGCAGGCCGTGGCGGGTGCGACGGCTTCGAAATTCGGGTTGACTTGGGCATGAAGGGCTACTGTAGAGGCTTACAAGGTACAAGGGTGTGGGCTCGAGGGGTTTATGCGTGATGGTTGTTCATGGCCTCCTCGTCCTGTTTCAGCAGTTGATGTTAGGCTCGGGCTCTACTCACGTCTGCTGCTTTGGCGTGGTTAGATCGAACAGAGGTTTTTTTCCGGAGCCCGAAGAAAGTATTCAGAAGTCTCTTGGGATCTCCGGGGATGTGGCAGCGGTGCAGGTCCAGGTTCATGAGCTCTAGATCTTGGGGGGTCTCGATCATGATTCATGCCTTGAATCATATCACACCTTTCCAGTGCGCACCGGCGTTTGCTTAGGGAGTTCTTGTTGCTGCCACACTTCTGCTGTAAAGCTCAAATCTCACTTTGAAAGCTCCCAAGCAAAGATTCCCAAACAGTCCTTTGCAATCCTCACAAAACCAGCTTCGGCCCTCCCACACGGCACCCAAAGTTGGTTTGGTAGAGGTGTTCCTCTACTTGCGGCGGCTGCACAGCAGCATCGCTCCTCGCAGACAGGGGAGGGGCTTGGGGGAACCTGGATTGGGCATGTAAAGGTCTCCTTGAGGAGGGCCGTGTTCCGTTAATTTCGGGGGGTTTGAAAACATTTTGGGGTTTGTTTAAAGAGGGCTTTCTGCGGCACGCTTTGAGGGGCTGTGAATTACGTGGCGAGGGCGATCTCCAGGGTTGGGACCTGCAGCCACAATTGCAAGGCTGCGGGTCCGACAGGCCAGGGTTGCTTCGTCCCATGTTTTTCATTGCGGCGTACAGTGGAGCTGCTTTGGTTCATGTCCTGTCTATCGAGTATCGAGGTAGAGCAGGATGATCGCAGGCCCCGCAGGCCCAGCCCAACAACGGCCCTGGTGCAAGAAGATGCTGCCTGAACTGGGGCTATGCGAACTGCCGCTGGGACGGCTACAGTGCTACAGGAACCGTCCTCCCATGCAACAATACAATAAATTGGCCTTCAGGTTCTTGAGACGACGGAGGAGAGCCCAACACGGCACGGCTGGCGCCTCGTTCATCTGCTGTGCTTAGGAAGCCCAAAGACGATTTTCCCCCGCAGTGGATACCCCTACCGCCCCTACCCGATCCTTGGACCTTAAGGCCGTAGATCCCAAGAGCCACTGAAGCTGCAGGTAATTCTGAGGGCTCGGAGTCCGAGGCCACGGAGGAAAGCCCTTGGGAGGCATTGAGGATCTTGAGGCTTGGGTTGATGCTCAAGGTTTCCTGCCCCCCAACGTGCTTGGGGTTTGGATTCTCCGGACTCTACGCCGTTTTGGGTCCCGGTTGGGTGAGTTGGGTGTGCACGTGTCCAGTGAAGATTGTATGCTTCGAGGGTGCTGGTTAATGATGAGCTTAGTTCGTGGCACCCAATAGCTCAGGGCCCTTTTTTTCTTCTGTTTGGCGCCGTACCTTGCCGAGGCAACAGCGAGCAAGCTGAGGAGATGCAGGAGACCTCGCGCATGCCCTCCACCCATGCTCCTGAACGCGTCTGAACTCGCCTGAGCGCCAAGTCTTAAGGCGGCATCGTGAGCTCTCGGGGTTCAGAGGCCTGGAATGTTCACGTGTGACGGTGCGAGCGTGCCCAGTGAACATCCTCCAAGAGCTTCGAAGACCCTGAGCCAGCTCGAACGCAGCCATGTTGCATTTGCTCGGCAACCGCGGCTGATGAAACCCTCAACTCAAACCTCGTACATAGCCCACGCAAAGCATGCGGAGGAGGACCCCACTGATGAGGACCTCATGATCCACGCGTGGAACTCAGACATTATAGAAGTGTGTACAACCCCGAACGAACGGCGTTGAGGGCAGGTTTGCTTGGCAAGCTCAGGTGTAATTTCTCTTTCCCACCCCCTAGTCCAAAGCCTGCGTTCCGACCCGACCGCAACCACTTACTGGTAAAGCCCAGTCGTCCTATCACTCTACAGCAGCCCTTTTCTCCTTATGAGCCTTACAACAGCCCGAAAAACCCTTCTTGAAAAAGTAAGCACCCTCTGTCAAAGGCTCCCTTCGAGCCTCTGTCGGACGATCAACGCTACCCCCTCTCCGGGCTGACAATCATCAAGGCAAGCTGTCTTAGGGGCTTTTTCGGGGCCTTTATAGGGGCTTTGTAGGGCTTCGTAGGGCTTTATAGGGCTTTGGATCCAGGTGGTACCTTTCTTTGGCTTTCAGGACGACTCATAATTCAGGGTTCAGGCGGCTACAGTTTCACGGTGGGGTTGCTGAGTGTCCCAGTGTTCAGCTGGAAGGTTTTGAGGGAATGCACACCCCGATGACACACTATGACCTGTCCAGGTACTTGGCCACTTCCGTGAGTATGTCCACTTCTCTCAGATGGCGTTGATGTCGATTCAGGCCCGTCAGGGGCACTCGGCTTAGAGCATTAAAAGGTTGCCAGAGGCAGTTTGAGCAAAGACTCAGGCCGCTAGTGGGTGCCTTTACGGGAACAGTACGAGATCAACAAGGCGATCCCCTCCCCAATATTTAACGCCCCCCGCCGGCACCATCCCCCTGATCATATTCCCAATGATACCTACGGGGTACTCTAGGGGGTTTAAATATTGGCGGCACACCGCTGGATCTTTACCTTGTTCCAAAGTGTAGGCCTGTGTATCCTCTTCTCCATCGCCCTGAATACAGTGCCGTGGCGTCTTTCGGATGGAAGGAAGGCACACGTGCAGAGCAAGACAAGAGATGCCAGAAAGAGAGCCATCTTTCGCTTTGCCCTTCAGGTGCTGGGGGTGATGGTGCGCTCGGCCTGAAGCCCAGATTTCGTGGAGCTCTTGAAGGCCTCTCAAGTGGACGCCTCTTGTCATGTCTTCCTAGCCAGCTGAAGAGGATGCAGTCCCAAAGCGCAGGAGCCCGCGGCTCCTGTAGCCACCAAATCAGGCCCAGACCCAAATCCCAAATCCTGCTCTAGCACCCCACGACTTTCCTGAGCATTCCTGAGTCCTGAGTTAAAGCCCAAGCCTTCCCCGAGAATCACCTTGCTTGCCACCCTAAACTCTACATCCTGCACTGAAACCTCAACCTGCGAACCTTGCGACCCCTAATAAGTCCTAAATCCGCGCCCCAGGCCATCCGCCTCAACAACAAGGCGAGCACCTCCATCACCTCGCGCAGCCGGTCCCCGACAACGAAGCGAGCTCAGGGGGCTTAGGTTCTTTTACGAAGAAAGCTCGGAGAGTTTTTTTGAATTGCGCTACTATTGTTGCTATTGTTTTTGGTTTTCTTACCTGGGTTTGGCTTTGCTGGTCGGGGGCGGGGGGGTGGCGTGTGAGGTGTCTATGACCTCCGGCTCTTTGGTTAGGAAGAGAATGGGAGAGGGAGGGAGAGAGTGAGACCCTGACACACCTTGAAGTAGCCAGCTGGACTCGCAAAGGGAGGAGGCCGAACCGATGGCAACCCAGCAGGGCTTTTGTGGATGCGAGCATTGGTTCTCCTTTGCAGTCCCAAAAGCAAAGTTTCCGAAACCAGAAAGGCGGGAGCGGGAGCGGGGGGGGACGACGTTGCTGGGGCGAACCACCGTAGCCCCACGAAAGAAAGAAACAAGGAAAGAAAGTGTGCATGCGCTGCGCTTCCGAGCCGGTTAATGGGTCTGAAAGCAAGCGCGCCGTGGGGTCAAAGCCATGTTGAAGCTTGAGGGAGTCGAGGGGTTCGGGTTGGGGCTCGGTTTTCAGAGGATTGCGATGCAAACCCTGGAATTGAAACTTTCAAGCGCGAAGCTGCACAAGCGAAACCGAGCGAAGGTCGGCCACGGTTATAGAGCAGGCGCGAGAGCGAGCCCTTTCGGAGCTCGCTGCGTTGGGTGGAGGGTCTTGGAGCTTGGGCTTTTTGATTCCGGGGCAGGCGTTATGACAATTTGATTCCAAGCATGTCCACGGAGCGCAGGTTCTCCCAAGATCATGGCCACAAGACTTGTAGATTTTTGAGGGTGAGCCTCTGATCCTCAGCCGCAAGCCAGGTCATGCTGCGCAACGGCTTCATCGAGTCAGCCATGCGGGCGCTCTACCGCCCGGCCCTTCAGTGGTTCAGGGATGCTTGAAGAGCAGCGGCCTGCGTGGTCTGCATCTGCAGTGTTACTTCAGTTTCTTTCTTCAGTTGTTGAAAGCGCTCAATCCTCTCTGCTTCAGGATTGAGGTCGTGTGTCGGAGGACTTAAGTAGGCTTCGCCTTATGACCCCGCTGAGTGCTAGGTTGGGACCATGAAAACCTGATTGGCAGTTCGAAGGTCTGCACTGCAGCCCACCAAGTTTCCATCCCGAACTTCGCCCGCAGTCCTAGAACGGCCCACGCCCGGCTATAGCGTACCACCTTGGCCCCACTCTTAACTCTGAGCTACTGTTCGGCTTCCATCCCGTTCCCCCGCTGTGCTCCAGGCCACGCAGGCACTCCGGAAATCTGCCGCGAGGCGCTGCTTGGGGCAGATTCGGGGAAATGCTCGAATAGGCTCTCAACACTCCGAGGCATCGAAGAAGCCCCTAAACTCCCTGAACTTCTTTGAAGTCACGCCTCGAAAGACTGCGAGCAGATATTATAGAAGGGTTACCTTTCACGGTTGGTCGACCAAAATCGGGGGGTTTTGGGCGAGTTTGAAGAGCTCTTAGCAGCTTTCGCAGCCTAAGGCACCCAGGCTCCAGGGTTGCAGAAACGAACCTCGAAGCAGCCTTAGAGCAGTTTAAGGAGGCACGATCTTGGAAATGACAAGATGAGCAAGAAGATAGAGCTTGACATTCTGTGAGTGGACCAGGTCTTGCTGTTGCTGAAGTACCTCGCTGCAGCCCCAGTGGATGCTAAGGCCGCCAGGGGATCTAATGGCTGCCCCAAGGAACCAAAGGCTTGGTCCACCGCACGGCACACCGAGCTGAAGAGGATCGCCGGGAAATTTGAGGGTCGCAAACTACACGGAACCCAAAGAGGGACAAATAAAAGAGGCGCGCGAGCAGACTGGCAGAAGCATGGCGCGGCTGCCTGATGTAGGCCCAAAGTATGAGGCTGAATACGGTCTGGGGCTTCGGTGCTGGGTTTGGGGCTCAGATTACACTTTTCCACTTCAATTTAAACACTTGACCTAGGTAGTAGAGGCTTTACAGTGGTAGCCTCGTCAGAGCAAACAGCCCGAGATTGGGAACCCCCTTCCTGTGCTGGCTTGTGTTCTCCACCCTAAACCCTGAACGCTACAGCGATATGGTTCGATCAGGGAGCCTTCCTTCGTGGACCCTCAGGTGCAGGACGACATGGACCACTGCGAGAGTGGCAAGGCAGGAGACAGGGCGACTAAAAAAGTGGGATTGAGGATTCTAAACATTGCGCTTCTTCCCTGGAAACGAAATCGCAGGTGAGTGCTAAGCGAGAGAAGGTTCACACGGTCGGAGGGTTTCAAAGTATACTTTTTTGGTAGGCGTTTCCAGGATGTGCGTTGCTGAACCTCTCTCTCTCTCTCTCCCTCCCTCCCTCTCTCTCCTGCTCAGAGGCTCAGCTGCAGCTGCTCACCCCGGCAGAGAGACCCATGACGTCTGCCTCGCCTGCTTCAACCGCCAAAACCTTTTGAAGCCTCGGGTAAGGATGGTTTCGAGCTCTAGGGAAGGTTGCAAACAGCAGGTTTGCAAGCGAAGGACCTGTTAGCTTCTATTTGCTTCTCAGTCGTAGTTGGTGAGACGATTCTTGGTTGGGTAGGTATTGACTTGCCACATGCGCCACCCGACATGCCACCCCATGAGCAACTGACACGTCCGCCGTTCGATACACAAGCTGCCGAGCTGCCACATTATTTGCGGACCTGCGGAGCACAGTAAGCTTCGCTAGGGTTGTGGCAGTTGGCTTTGAGGTGTTTATGAGGTTATGAGACTTTTGGGCCTTTCGGGGGGTCTCGGGTCCACAGGTGTCGCAACACGGTCGCAGCATGAACGCCGAGCCATGGCGCCGCGAGGCCTCGAAGTCGCTTTCCGCCGTCCTTCGGCGGGATGCGCCCAAGCTTGGCCTGGAAGTGGATGGGGAGGGCTGGGTGAAGCTCTCAGATCTTCTGAGCTCTCCGACGGTGCGGCGGACCATGGGTGCCTTGGACTTCTTTCGACATGGCTTCACAGAAGAGAGGCTCTTGGATGTCATTGCCCTGTCAAACGCAGAAAAGAATCGGTACGAGCTCCAGGCAAGTGAGCGAGGAACCCTGGTCCGAGCAATCGACAAGAGGAAGTTGTCAACCGCCGAAGAAGCGAATGCAGCGACCACCCGAGGAGTCGACACGACCTTGTCGAGCGCCCAGGCCAGATGTCATTTGACGGTCCTGGGCCTCGACGGCAGTACCTTATGCGAAGTGCAGATTCCACAAGACAGCTCCGTGATCAATGCACGCAGCGAAATTGCAAAGAAGACAGGCATCCCGATGCAGAGTCTGCAGCTGGTCTTGGAGTGCAAGAAGCTTGCTGATCCAACAGCAAAGCTTCTTTCTGATCCCAAGCAAGAGGCAGAAGTCACTTGCATTCGTTCAGCCTTGGACCCCGGGGATGCTTGTGCCTGGTGTTGTGACGTTCTCGGAGTTCCAGTTCAGTCAAAATGCCCATGTAGGAGCCTCTACTGCATCACGTGCATTCGTGACATGATTGGCCTGAACGGCCAGCCGCCCAAGAGTTCCACCTGTCCAACCTGTCATCGACGCCTTTCGACATCCTCACGCGCGGAGGGTTCTTACACTAAGCGCCTGGATCTGGTTACAGCGTTGGACGGCAAGTACGGCGCCTTGACGTGTCCGCGAGGTTGTGGCACATCATACCTTCGGATGTCTGCCCCGGAACACATGAACTCATGCCCTTGCACCAAGAAGAGATGTCCAGTGTGCCATGCATATTACACTGGAACTCGTGAGGCACATCATAGGATGTGTTTCGGATTGTTCGGTGACTTGGACGACCTTTTGGACGGCACGTTCCGATGAGGCATGGCAGACAGACTGAGGAGCTGTACATCTTCACTTCTGAGCTAGTAAAATGCCTCGGCAGTGCAAGGGAGGCTTCAGGGAGGTGATGTTTTGGGGTTGTCTTGAGGGTCCAGAATCCTCGGCATTGAGAAAGCTGTAATTACAACCGACGCACCTCTTGCTAGCTAACCCATCTTCGCTGAAAACCTAAGTCTTCCAGCAGCACCTCTTTGTGGAAGGAGTGCTCTCCCGGCTATGCCACTTACCTCCCGAGAATGAAATTTGAATAACTTTCGGTGCCAGGCTTGTGCTCGCTATGTCGAGGCTCAGCACCCGGCAGGACTGAGATTGCGCGGCTCAGGGGGATTCTGTCTGAAGGGTTGAGGATGGCTTGAGGCTTCACTGCGAGCGAAGGGAAGGCCACCCTAAATCCCAGCCCTGAAGCCAGAACCCCACGCCGAAACCCTACAGGATCGTGGAAACCTCCTCTTATGCCTGGAGGTGGGATGGGAGGGCTCTCGGCAAGAGGGTTCTAAGAAACAGGAGGTGTGAAGAGCTACGAAGCTACGTACTCGACATCTGCGGCGTTTGTGTCAGTCTTGTGAGCGCCCGTGATCTGCTGGTCGGTCCATGATCTCCTAGAATCCTAGAAGCCAGAGGTCTATGTGTCCCTCGGGCCGCATTCCTTTGAAGCAGCACGGGCCTTAGAGCAGGACATTGAGATTTCCCCGACATGGGGGTCCCCCTAATTTTCCTTCCATCGCATAGGCCTTTGTATAGGAGCTGTCAAACAGGGCCATCTGCGGAAGCGTTTGCCGCTTGGGCCAGCAGACGGGCTTCAGGGCCTTCAGCTCTTGAAGGTTTCATGATGACTCAGGGCATCTCAGGGCTCCCCTTGTAGTCTATTTGGGGGGGGGGGGGGGGGGACCGATCTTCCGCGACAGACTGAAGGGGGCATCGCAAAAGGCAAATCACCGGAGAGATCCGGAGATCACAGGTTTCTGCACCGGAGCTCCACAGCCCGGGCCTAGAGTGGGGCGTCTAAGGATGAGAAGTCCCCAAGCCCCAAAAGCACCAGGCTACCTCTCCGCTTCCTTCCCATCCACCTGGTCCTGAGACGCAGGCATCGTCGGGGGAGCGTTTTGGACTTTCAGTCGAGGAGGGCGACTCTGAAAGATTTTACGGCGCTGAGATATTAGGGCGATTCCAAGAACTCTCAACCCCGGCCCGGAACTTGCCCGAGCTTGACCTTGGACCCCATCACCTGCAATGCTCGTCAACTTCCAGGGTTCCAAGCGCTTTCTGCGAGTGTCAGTGTTGCCGAAACAGCCTGGTAAGCCCTGAGAAGGGCATCGAATGCTTCAAGAAGCCAGGTTTTTCAAGTAGCGCAAGATTCCCTAGGCCCTGTAGCCTTCTTGACAACAAGATACTCACTTGTAGCCGAAAAGCAAAGAAGCGATTCTTTCAGATTCAGAACCGGGATTGTGTTCTAGAGGTGCCGTTATAAGCCCGACGGTGGCCCAACAGTCTCGAACCGAGCCCTTGCGGCGGAGCGGGAGGCCTCAGGGAAAGCCTCCCGGAGAAGCTCCCGGGCCTCCCGGGCCTCGGACGCGCACTCGGCTCCGCCGCTTCTACGGCTGCCGGCCCAGCAGGGAGCCCCAAGCATCCAAACAGTCCAACAGCGAGCGAACGCGAATCACAGGGGTGCACCTCCCCCACCGTTTAGCCTCGTTCGTCCTCAAGTCAGTTTAGTGTGAGATGTACCCTTAATGTACCCTTACAGTGCTGCACGAAGAATCGCCATTCCTGCTTGTGTGGAGATGTCTGCAGAGTACAGCTATCGAGCAGATCTGTGGCCATCTACTACATGCATCTCTGCCATTGAATCCTTGCTGCGACCACACTTCGGGTTACACCTGGAAAGTTTTGCCCTCCATCCCCTTCCGCATTAATTATGACAATGATGACATAGGCGCGAAGCTGAAGCTGTCGGCATCCCAGTCGCTGAAGATGCGCTAGCGTGCTCGCCGGCTCTGCTAATGTCAGGGCGCGCTTGGCGTTAGCACGTCTCATTTGCGCAGTGTGGGCGTTCCTGTGGTCTCTAGTGTGGATCGAAATATAAAGCTGAATGAACCGTCCGTCTAAACTAACGAGACACATCAAGCTAAAGCTGCTATATGAAGGACATGGATCAATGGAAGGACTGGGTTTGCATGGCGTAGTACTATGACTTGTACTGCTGAGTTACCAGCATTTTAAGCCTGGGGAGCCTGGGGCTGGGGTTAAGCAAACTTGCCGGCTTCAATCCACAAAGAACACAAGCAGGCCCAGATCTTCGTGTCCATACTCCGCTCGCACTGGCAGGACGAGGTTTGGGGTTTGGGAGTGGGTCTTTGGTGGTTCAAGGGCGGCGTTCACGCGCCCATGGGCGCGGCATCGAGAAACGTCCGGTGCAGTCAAGTCAAGGGCCACTTTGCTTCTTGCATTCACTCTTCATGTGTTCATGTGAGCAGATTGATCAGCAGAGGGAGTCGTGTCATCGTTGCTGTTCAGAAATATAGGTTCTCGGCTGTAAACGACAGGATTCCAGGGCGAGTGTTTGCTGGACCGTTCTTCCACTCTTATCCACTCTTATTCCTAGACCCCTTTGCCCCTGGCACCCTGGCGGCTAGAAGAACTCTTCTATCGTGCCTTCGACACCATGGAAAGCCGAATCTTCAGACCCAAAGCCTCCCACGGTTCCGCGGCACAGGTCATCACCCTGCTCATGCTGAAGATCATCCAATTTTCGTGCTCGAGCCTAAAGATGCAAGCTGCAAGCGGGACCCTGTCGTAGGCATGGCCGCAGGACAGCCCCTTGCACCACTCACACACCTACTCTGAAATTTGGGGTTTACCTGTAACAAATCAGGCGAACAGCCTCATCTGTGCCGCCATCTCTTCGCAGATGCACTCAGAGGGACTGCAAGGTTGAGGGCAGTCGGGTTCCCCCCTTTGTTCGCTTCTCACTCAGCAAGGCAGCTTGATGTTCCGGGGGCAGCTGCCCGCCTCCGGTTCGGGTTTACCCTGCTGATCGTTTTTTTGGCCCGAGGCAAAGATCCTTCCTTGCAAGAGTACCTTAGTCGCTTAGCCTGCTTGACTGATGGTCGCAATGTTGCTGTCGTGCTTGCTGGGTGTTGCCACGGCCGCGCACGGACCGGGCACCCGGCAAAGATGCATGGGTCAACTTCAAACTAGAAGGCTGCAGGCTTCACGGTTCCAGAGCGTGTCCCGAATTATTTCGGCGCCCATGCTCGTTCAGTCTGACTGCCCGATAACCGCATCGGGGCTTGAGAAGTCAAGTAGGGGTGTGTAGGGTCATGTGGGGTAGTTTTCTGTCGGGGCCTGAGGGTATTTCTGGGAGGACCTTGGACCGAAAACGAGCCGAGCTTGCTCTTGCAAAGGCGTGCAGGAAGCCCCAGGAGCTGCTAGTTGCAAGCTTTGCAAACCAGGGTTTAGGGTTTAGGGTCCAGGGTTTAGTGCCCAGCCTAGGGTTTTAGGGTTTTAGGGTTTTAGGGTTTTACGGTTTTACGGTTTGTACGGTTTGTACGGTTTGTACGGTTTGTACGGTTTTAGGGTTTTAGGGTTTTAGGGTTTTAGGGTTTTAGGGTTTTAGGGTTTCAGGGTTTTAGGGTTTTAGGGTTTTAGGGTTTTCGGGTTTCCGGGTTGTTTGGGTTTTCAGGTTTTCGGGTTTTTCGGGTTTTTGGGTTTCAGGGTTTCAGGGTTTTTGGGTTTCAGGGTTTCAGGGTTTCAGGGTTTCAGGGTTTCAGGGTTTCAGGGTTTCAGGGTTTCAGGGTTTCAGGGTTTCAGGGTTTCAGGGTTTCGGGTATCTGTGAACGCGCATCCGTTCTTCCACTGTGCTGGAGTGTGGGTCCCGGCAATTGGCTTGACGCTGCAAAGTCGTTGTCCTTTTCCGCTGCCTCCCTTGGCAGCGACATTCTCACACAAGCACGTGTGAGCTCTACGTAAGTTATATAAGTCATCACCCTGCACACCGAATTGCGGAGAGGAGCTCGCCTGGCGCCCTCTCCGGCAAGGTGGAGCTGAGTTTCTTGGTTTGAACGCGCCAAAGTCCCGAATCCCAAAGACTCAAAGGCTTGAGAAAACAGCCTCCAATCCGAACAAGACATGTGCATAGGGGTTTTGTGCGGGAGGTGGCTATACAAAAACTGACGCATGTATCCTTGAGTTGTTTCTACATATCTGTTTTTATATGTAAAAAAGCTGTCAGGCAGTGCGTGTTTGGAGCTTACAGTGTTGAAGCTTCGGCTCTTTGTCTCACTTCTTGGCGCTTTAAAGCCTGAATGCGTAGCTTCTCCGTTCCCAGATGATTCTCGTATACAGGAAGGTCGAGCAACTGATGCGCTTCAACGTCCTAAAGCCGAAATCTCAACAAACGTTGCGGCTTGCAAAATGCATCTAGTGCATTTTGGCTTTCAACTGAATAGCTTTACCATCTTCGATGTTAGGCTCAAGCCCTTTTGGGCTTTTAATCAGTTCATATACTTTATCTTGATACCCCAACCCCACTCAAGGATCATATGTGAGTTTCAAGAGCACATGAGCGCGAGGTTGTAGGCAGAGATCGAAGAGCCAGGCATGGTAAGGTTGGAGGCATGGAAGGTTTCGGGTTCAGGGTCTTGAAGGGGCCGGTGCGTGGTTCCCGTCTTGCTTGATTCGACTCTGTTGTAATGTTGTAGAACTCTAACCCCCCCCCACAAAAACACAAAAAACAAAACAATTCAAGAAGAACGCGCAACACCATTCCTGGAAGACCCTGGAAGTGCTAGGTCTGCCACGTTCAGCTGTGAAGGCCTCTGAACCCTGAGGAGCCAAATGCAAACCTAGCAAAAGATTGTAAAACATCGGTGTTTCGACCTCTGTGGGGGGCGAGGCTTTCACACCGGGACGCCGCGGCTGCAGCTGTACATTGGCTCGCCCCCTCAGGGGCCGCTGGACACCATGATTGATTCGCGGCTATTGTATGTTTTGCTAGTGTTTTGCTGTCGTTTCTTGGCAGTTCACAGGTTGGTTGCGCCTTCGGCTGAACAGCCTAGGACCTGGGATCTACAGATTCCTGGGTGTTCAGCCGAAACTGTCGCTTAGCAGCCTCAGCACCGCCTGATCTTTTTAGAAGGGGGGAGGGGTTGGGGGGGGTGGGGGGGGTGGCGGGGGGTGGCGGGGGGGGGGTCGGGTCTGGGAAGCTTTTCGCAACAGTCTTTTTTCCTTCCAGAGCATAACAGCAGCAGCAGCAGCAGCAGCAGCAGTCTGTGCGAGAGGTGTATACGAAAAGCTTGGTCCCGCTTGTGCCGCGGGCCTGGCCAGCAAGACCTCGTGCGACATGAAAGGCTATGATGAATCAAAGCCCCTTGGCGGGGTTTCTGGGATTGCCCCTGGTTCTCTACTTCCTTACAGTAATTGAAGGGCAATGTAGCGTGGGATCCGTCCTCCTAGGAGGTAGTGAAAGATGTCCAGATTTGTCCGAGTAGTTAAGAAGACCTTTTGGATTCGAAGAGTTTTCAGCTTATCCAACTTTGTGTGGCAAATTGTGCAAATGGTGTTTTCCGAAATTGGGGTAACTTATTGGGGTCCTGTTTGCAAGGGGATCCTACTATTTGGTCTATTTTGGGGTCCCTTAATTTCGCAAACCCCCATAAATGAATTTGGTTCTTGGATCTTGTAGGTAGCAGGATGATGCCGAAATTTGTTTGAGACATGGTTCACGCTTCCAATTATTCAGGTGCCAAAGAAGAAACTCAGGTCCTAATTCGGGTGGAGAACTCATGTAGATTTCTTTCGAGCTTTATACTTTGGTTTTCCGGTGTGGGGGGTTCGAAATCGATGACCCTCTCGGTGTTTCCTGCAGACGTGCGCCATTCAAATCGCGACCCTCTCGGTGTTTCCACATGCTTGCATCGCTTTCGCCCCGGTCCCGTACGCATACTCTTCGTGATCAGAGTTGTCGTCGTCTGCGGGCGTTCCGTCTTTGTGTTCGTGAAGTATGGAATGGTTCTGGAGTGCAAACTCGCGCTGATAGGAAACCTCGATTTAATGCTCCATTTCCTCTCCAAGTTATCGACGGGGAATGTCTGCGTTTTGTAGAAAATTCTCGATTTATTTGACATGATGTATTTATTGTTGTTAGTTCTCAGCTTCCTTGTCTGCATATTTTTCACAGACAAATCCTATTCCTCTCGTTGTAACAGTAAACCTGTATTGGCCTGTTCTGTATTTCGAGTATACCTTTGTTCGATGTTCAGCTCACCTCTTTGGTTTTTATGTTTTCCATAGCTCACTAAACTCTGTCCCGCTCCATGCTAACTGTTCCTTTTTTTGCAGGCTTATGGTTGATCGGAAACCTCTATCTCCTCTAGAATGAACAAAATGGCGCTTGTATGAGAACCTAACCCGAAAAGAAAAGATATGGGCCCACTAGGCTTTAGGGTTTGGGATTTAAGGGGTGAGGGTTGGCGGCCTTGGGGCTTTAGGGTTAGGGGCCTACGTAGGACTGCCTTCCCTTCTTTTTGTCGTCCTTCTTACACTCCTTTCTCTCGTTCCGTCTTTCTTTCATTCCCTCGTTCTGTTTTGCATCTTTTTTCCTCTCGTCCCGAGAACGTATTCTGCCAAGGTCTTCGACCTACCGTGCCACGTGCGAACCCGGAGAGCCAGGCTGCTTTGTGTGCATGACCTTTGCAGCTGGATCCACCTCTGGCCACTGGTTCTTGAGAGATTTTGTTTTTGCCTCAAAGATGAGCAGCCATGCCACGCTAAAATCCGAAAATTGTTTGGCTTTTGGAATTGTGTCAGGGACCGGCCAGTTCCTTCGAGAGTTGGTCTTCGCAGTGGGGGAACCATTGCTCGCGCAGGGTGCGCACGTTTGGTATTCAGGCCCAAATGGTAGGTTGCGTCCCCGCTTTTGAACCCTGAGCACCTTGCAACATCCTGCACAACCAGCAGCCGAGGTCATCCTGCGCAAGACATTCTGCACCTGGCTGACGGTTCCTTCCCACACGTCTTGGGTCTCATGACCCGTTCAACACCGTCACCTGATTGGCTTTGGAGCTTCGGTCCTTCTGGACATTTGAGATGAGGATGTTTGGTTTGTGCTTGCGGCATAGCGAGACCCTGAGCTGGTAGCACTCACAGGCCTTTGCTGTCGCATGGCATGTTTGGGGACAGAAGTAGCAAGGTTAGTTAGCCATGGAATCAGATGTCTACAAAGCACATATTCTGCGCTATGGTCTGCTGCCAGTGAAACCATCGCGCGCGGACCTACATTAAGGTGAAGGATGACGAAGGGGATTCAGCTGCGGCGGGTTCCAGTATTCATGAACCTCCTACTAAGGTCATTGAAGACCATCAAGTCGGATGCACTGGTTGGCCTGGGCTTCGCTGGGAACAGCCGGCTGCATCACCCTGGCATCATCCGCAACTTGCTGGTGGAGGACGGAAGCTCCTACTTCACCTTGTGCATGCCCCAATGTACCTGGGCCAAGCTCAGCCTTCAGGGTATCAACCGTTGACCCTAAATCCTACAACCCCCTGTTTTTTTTTTGGGATGCCGATCGCATTGTGATTTGCGTTCATGCCGTTGCCCCCACACCCCCCCCCCCCCCAGCTCCCGGAACCAGTCATCACCCTCATGGCTTAAGATTCGAGCTCCAGCACCTGGGATGGCCTTGTTTTGTTTTGAAACTGAAGGTGGCGGCATTAATCCGCTCGGTTCGACATCCTGCCCCAACAGCACTTACCCTGGGTTCATCTGCTCCTCGCCCTGATTATTCGCAATGCTGCTTGTTAGCAGTGCTGCCTCTTGCGGGATCATGCTGTGCCTCTTTTTTTTTAGGCTCTGCACATCCAAGGGTAGCTGTTGCTTTCGAGAATTACCATGCCTCTCCCGGCAC